TCAAACTGAAAAGGCAACTTGGAGAAATGAGACGACCTACCGTCTGCCCCTCAATCGCGGCCCGCTGGCGCCCTAGGACGTCCTGCAGCTGAGTGAAGTGCTGAATGAAGGCCACCACCTCCGCCTGGAAGCGCTGGGTGTGCACGTACTGCACCGAGGCCATCTGGAGGCTCACGCGAATGTCGTGCTCCCTCCGCAGCAGAGGGTCGGGCCGTCCATACCTAGAAACGGCAAAAACGTGACTCAAACGGCAGCCAGATACAAGTTAGTATTTGAAGGCAACTTGGATTGAGCTAGGGGTTTCCCTAGAGAACACACTTAGTGATTAAAATGGAAATCCACATCAAGTTTTACAAAGTGAACTCCAATAATCACTCCCTTTCTGAGCTTCGTTCGGCAAGTGTTGAGAATGTGCAATAAAAGGCTGGTGTGAGACAGCCAGGGCTATACACAGGTGGGCAGCTCCAGGCACTCACTCACTCTGGATTCCAGAACTCACTCACAAGCCACCTGTGGTTCAGACCTTTCACCTGGGCCTTTAAGGAAAAGCAATTACTCCTGCTCACTCTGTTCTAGCAACGATTGTGACAATATGGGTTTAAAAGATAATAAAAATAAGACATGAAACAATGTGTAAGAAAACTGGGCAACCAAACCAATGTTCCTGGGGAAAACTCTTCTGGAGGCAGAAAGAAGTCTTATTTTAACTCCAGTGAAATGTAGGCCAAAGAGGCTTAGCATCTACATTCCAAGACAAATTAGAAAACCTTACTAATGATTTTGAATTTACTGGAGAATGGAGCATGGTGTCATAATAATAAATTAATATACAGGATACAGTCACTGGGGAAAGGATCTCACATTAGCTAAGCACCTATTCTGTGACAGACAGAGAATTAAGAGTTTTATATTAATTATCTCATTTATTACATAACCACGCCACTGTGGCAGGTAACAATAGAAACTGATCCATCTAAATGCTCAGTACAGTATGACATACTCCCCTTGAAAATGGAAGAAGTTCCCAGATATCTTTAGAAACAGGTTTTCTCAGTTCTGGTTGAACATTAGAATCACTATGGCAAGGTGGGGGCGGGGAGGACTGAGTATTACCCTACACCAAAATATCAGGGGGTATAGCTGGATATTTCTATTTTCTAACAGCTTCCCAAAAGGTTGAAAAACCACCATTTTAAACTTTCTGCCTTTTAATAACTATGTAGGCCTAAAGATGCCTTCTAAATTCTAAAACTGAAAAGATTCAATATAGATTGTTTCTACAGAAAAAAAATGCACGATGTAATTTAACACCTATATCCCCAACAACTTTCTCAGGCTGCAATCATTCTAGAACGTTTACAGCTTGATGGAAACTGATCTTAGTCCCTCAACATTTAGAGAGGAAAACAGATGCACAGAGATGAAATGAGTTGCCTAAGATCACATAACCAGTTAGTGGGAGGGCGGCATGAGCCCAGGGATTTTAGTAATCAGAAGTATTTCAATCATGCCCATCTGTTTATGAAACCTGAGGAGCCCACGTCAGCACAGATCCATTTCAATAGGAATCAGAATTCCTCACCACTAGATCATACCAGTTTTATATAAGAAGGTAAATTTTTTAAGTCTTTTCTTCATTGATTAGTCAACACGAATTTGAAACAGCCAGCAATAATGACAAAATGTCAAGTGAGAAAGATGGAGGTTTTTACTTAAAAGTCTGGAAGATGAGTGCTTCTTCCCCACTGGTGGTGAACCGCTCCCTGTAGAACTCCCCGTGGGCTGTGAGGTCACTCAGAGACAGGCTCCCGATGCTGCCCTGCAAGGCCAGGTCTCCTTCTACGGATGTGAGATTAGAACACGTTACGTACCCTTTTTTGTCACACACCTTCAATGTGTCTGAAACAAAAACTGACACACACATGCCTCAGACTTCCCACTGTTTAATCAAACTACCTGGCAAAAACAAATGTTTGCATCCCAACACACCCAGAAAAAATGTTTTATGCAACGTTTCAAGTAGTCTCAGTGCAAAAGTCCGCAGGGGACTGAAATGACACAGCAACATCACACTTGAACATTTGCAACAGGAAAGAAATAAAAGTAAATGTGTACACAATTTAAAGAGAAAAGCATTTGCAACTACAGATAGGAGCATGATCCATTCTGAGAGTAGACTCCTAATTAGAATTAGTGAAATATCCTCAGTTCTATTCATTGTACTATGGATAAAAAAATGAAAAAGGAAGTATTAGACATGTGTCAGGTATTCAAGCAACCTTAAGTGGATTTTGGTATGATTTAATAAAAAAATAAATAAAAACAGCATTAATGAGATAGACACTAAAGACTCTGACACTGCAGCAGCGGGGCCCCTGGAAGGTGGGCAGAAAGAAGGTTGCCGAAACTCGGGCATCTGAGCAGTGAACCTCTACTGAGTCATTCTCAACAGGGGGTGAAGAGTAAAAAGAAATATGTTGAACTGTTGATTCTGTAAAATTTTATCATCATAATTAGCAATATAAAACTAGAGGCCCAGCGTGTGAAATCGAGCGTGGTAGCCCACCGCTGCTCGCAGCCCTGCCCACCCACCTGCCGCTGCTTGCCATGTTCACTGCCCCACCCGCCCGCCACCCACCTTGCTGTGATCAGAGCCTGTGGGCCGTGGGGGAGGGACCAAGAGGTGCTCAATGCATCTCATGGTGACTGGTCGTGTGATCAGCCTGGTCATCATGGACACTGGCTTTTTATATATGTAGATGACCAGTTCAGCTCCCAATGAGTCAATAGCACATACTAATTTTTTATTCTTAATTTCCTCAAAGAAATACCCAAGCTTCTCCAATTTTAAAGAACTATCTCTGCTAGGCATCTTTTAGACACTGATTTATACCAGGCAAAAACACCTCAATTTCAGTTCATTCCTCCCCCAAAAGACAGTCTTGTTTTTAACTACAGGGTCAACATTTGAGCCTTGTAGTCGTCCATATTTCATTACCTAGTCCTTAAGGAAGGAATAGTTTTTTATTCACTTTAGAGATCCCTACTATTTAAAATTTGATATAGCTGATCACAGTTTTTCTATAAGAATTGCAACTTACAGAGTCCCACTAGAAAGAATGCCAGGGCCCTGGCTGGGTGGTTCAGTTGGTTGGAGTGTCATCCCGTACACCAAAAGGTTTCAGGTTTAATCCCTGATCATACGGGGGCAACCGATAGATGTTTCTCTCTCACATCAATGTTTTTTTCTCTCTCTCTCTCTAATATCAGTAAAAACATATACTCAGGTGAGGGTTTAAAAAAAAAAAAAAGAATGCCAGGTTTGCTACAATATCCTCCTACCTAAAATCATACCCCCTATTGGTAACTCCCCCTCTTTACTGCAATAGATCGAATGAACATATGCCCTAGTTTCCCAGAAACAGCCTGTTACACACCAGGTATAATTAGCGAATAATCGTTCCCCAGATGTAATCATTAATAATGCCTCCTTTCACGCTCAAAAATGTTCCAGTTTAGACAAAAAAATTATATAATCACCAGATAGAGTTTGTTAAAACCACAGACACCAAGGCCCCATCCCAACCTACTGAATCAGATTCTTGAGATGGGGGCGAGAGGGGGGTAACTGTGCCAGACACCTGCATTTTTAACAAGATGAGCAAATGATTCTCATCCATAAGGAAGCATCTGAGAATCACTGTCATAAACCATGGCCAGGCCTATAAGCGCAATCAAGCCATTGATTCCACACCTTACTCAGCATGTGAGGACAATTAGATTTGTGAGCAAGATGTTCAAATTCTTACCAGATTTTGCAAGTTTGATTTTTCCCCACTTACCAATCATTTCCAGGTGTGCCACTAATTTGGACACATTTGCTTTAGCAAGTTCACTGGTGGTCTTATTCAGCACGAGAGAGAGTGAATGAACCTAAGCACACAGAAGACAAAGTTAGACAAATGTTACTAGGAGGGGGGGAGGGCGGGGAAGGGTGTCCTTTAACAGAACAACAGAACAAAGTCAAGGAAGAAGCAGAAAGGTAAAACTTCAAATTGATGCCAATTTCATTTCAGCTTTCTTCAGCCAGTCAAACCATAATCTAAGAACTAAGGAGAGAGCTGATAAGATAGGAACTCAAAGGGGCAATCTACAACCCAGGCTCTGCAGTGTCTTCTCTATGGCTGCTTGTCTATGCTGTCACCACCTGAATCCTCTATCTTAGCATGAATTGGAGCATCACTAAAAGTGGGACAACCAGATGTCTTATACCTCCTGGCGTAAAGTAATAGGATGCACTCAGCACCACCTAAAAAATGTTTTTACCAAAAACTCGAACCTGAATCTGATCAAGTCTCTAGAACTAACTTCCATTTCTAAAATTAGAAGATAAAAGAATCAAATGGCAAATCCGAGATGTGGGACACCCTACAGCACACTAACCCAGTTTCTACAAATCAACTGCATGGGGGGAATAAAGGAGAAGGAAAACTGGCTTAATTAACAGATTTCAGAGACATGACAGCAACTGTAACATGTGAACCTTATTTGAATCTCCATTCAAAAGATTCAAACGTCCTTTTAATTGTCCTCATTTTGTAGATGAGGAAACTATGGCTCAGAAAAGCAAAGTATTCCACTGAATTGTAGACCTCAAAGGAAAGACATGAAGCTTCTTAAATCATTCATTCCTCTACAATGCACAAGTAAACGAGCATTTTTGAGAAAATAAGGGAATACGTAGTACCAAGAAATTCTTGCTAAGGTAGTTAGATGTAACAATGCATTGTAGTTATATTTTAAAAGTCTGTATTTTTCAGGAATGAAAACTGAAGTTTGTAGAGAGGAAATGATATCTAGAATCTGCTTTAAATAATTCAGCAAAGAGAAAAAAGGAGAAAAGTAAATGTGATGATTCCCACAGGTTTTGGTACATGGGCATTCATTATACTACTAGAGGCCCGTTGCACAAAATTCATGTATGGGTAGGGTCCCCAGGTCTGGCCAGCAATCAGGGCCAATAGGGGCCTTCTGGCTGCCGGCCAGGGCCTCCCTTCATTCCGCGCCGCCCCCTGGTGGTCAGCGCATGTCATAGCAAGCGATCGAATTCCCAGTCTCCCAGTCAAACTCCCCAGGGGAAACTTTGCATATTAGGCTTTTATATATATAGACCAGAGGCCTGTTGCACAAAGAGATTCGTGCAATAGGCCTTCCTTTCCCCTGGCTGCTGGGACCGGTTTTCCTCCGACACCTGGCACCCAGGCCTTTGCTCTGGCCGGGCTCCAGCTGGAGCCGGCCCCACGGCCGTGAGACTTTCACTGCTCCACTGGCCCCGGGGCTGTCAGGCTTCGCTCCACCGCTTAGAGTCTATGTATGCAAATTAACCACCATCTTTGTTAGGTTAATTTGCATACTCTCCTGATTGGCTGGTTAGCGTAGCAAAGGTACGGTCAATTTACATGTTTGTCTATTATTAGGTAAGAAGATTCTGTTTGTGATATATTTGAAAATCTGTACATTAAAAATTTTTTTAAAGTTCTTATTCTAAAAAAGTCTATTTTTGAGGGGCAGTTATCTAGTCCTGTTGTCTTGTGAAACCAGCTACATCTGTTATCTTAATTAGATGATGGAAGATGAGAAAACTGAGGCTCAGAGGAACTAAGTAATTCCACTGAATTATACAAACCAAAGAAAGTTTTCTAAACCGTTTACTTTCCCTGCCTCCAGATGGGATTTACACTCAAACCTTTTCTAAGCCATTGTCTACCCTTTTGTAACAGATATACAGTGGGGCCTTGACTTACGAGTTTAATTTGTTCCAAGACCGAGCTCGTTAAGGAGCTCATTAACTCAAATTACTCTATCAACTCAATGCAAAAAATCGGCCGAGAGACAGCTGGTATCTCAAAAAACTCGTTAGTCGGGACACTCGTAAGTCAAGGCCCCACTGTATATAGCTCCCCTGCCAATGGATCTATTTTCTAGAGTAAATGCACGATGATCGCATTTCAATAAACAAACTAACATTCTTAGAACTTCAAGGAGTGAAAGGGAGCTGATACCTTGAGATCCAGCTTGGTGTTAACTGGATCCTGAAGTTCAGGCTCTGGCAGAGCATTTGCTTCTGACTTCACGTTTTGTAGAATATCCTCAGGCGTAGGTACCTTCATTGCATGGTTGTCTGCAGTGGAACCAATTCCAAAAAAATCTAGTATCACGACCCAAGTTTGCAGTGTGATGAGCACATCCAAGCAGTTAAAATCAACATCAATGCTCCGGTTAATTCGGTTGTAAATGGAAGAGAATTCTGGGTGTTTCTTATCCACTAAGAATATATTGATATGGACCAAGGAATCATCAAATTTACTCTTTCCTGCAAGTGTCTTGGGCTCATCTACTGTTGGAGAAGGAGGTGGGGTCAAGGGACAGTCCTGGTCTTGGACTTCCTTTGGCTTCTTCTTGGATGCCGAGGTAGGTCTCTGATACAGCTGAAAGACGTTAGGAGCTTCTTCCATGTGGGAAGGCAGAGAGCGAGGCATGTCAGGATACTCCACATTGGATATCGAAGGGCAAGACTGAGAGAGATATTCTTTTTGTGCTAAACTTGACGGCTTAGGGGCTCCCCGAGACACCATCAGGTTCTTATATTTAGAATCCGGATTTTTCTCCAATAAGTCTTCCATCAGCAGAGAACGCAGGGCAATCTGAATGGATAAGGTCTGAGGATGGTCTTTATTGAATTCCACCTCAAAATCCTGAAACTTTAAGCTCACAAGCCCCTGGGCCCCCAAGGTCAGATCACCACTTAGCTGAACTTGAAGCTCTGATATACAAAAGTTGGCTTGAATCTGGGTAAAAGATTTGACCTCCTTCACAGACAAGGACTTCTGAGAAGAGTTAGAAAGGCTGGAGTGGCTGAACAATCCATTCTCCTTCCTTTCAAGGGAAGGTTCTCCACAGGTACTGAGGGAAGGCAGAGGAGAGTTAGGACAAGGTGAGGAGGCGGCACTGACTGGAAACTTATTCAGGTCTTCACTATACACGAGATTGTCCAGCGTTTGTAAAACCTGCTCATACACATGCTTCGCTAACACCACCTGTATGCAAAGAGAAAAAAATCAGTTATTCTGTTACCATTATTAATTGCACTCAGCTGCACTGCCCAAAAATTACCCAAGTTGCCTTTTATGGGTTTCCAAAGAGGTTATCAATCAGTTGATGGCAAGAACTTTCTTTGTTTCTTTTCTGTCCTTACCTCTCTCTGACCCTGTCTATTCAAAGGGCCTCCCCCAGTACCTCATGGAATAACCAATACACAATAAGTGTTCAATAAGTGCAACTGGTTGTAGGCCTGAATCACTCTTCCTAACCACACAAAAACAACTGCAGAAACTGAAGGGAATGCTGCTACAAGTCCAACGTGGTGGTACCACAGGGCTGAGAAACAAGATTCATGGTTCTAAAACCACTGATCATCACCAAGCATCATAACCACCTGTGTTTACAGCTAAACAAATACAGAGTGCTCTTTAATGGTAATAGTAATGATCTATTACTACCTATGTTTCCTTTCTCCCTTATTTTGTTTTTAATTACAATTTCTCATTTAAAATACTTTCAAGCAAGTTTTTTATTTACTTAATAGCAATTTTTTAACAGAGGAATTCCAAGCAGATATAAAAATGATAGAATTAGAAAGTTATCATTTTGTAACCCCTAATTAAATAATTTATCCCATCACGGTTCATCCATGTAGAATAAGCTCTTCTATGAATGAATGAATGAGAATTTTGCAATGAAGGGATCAGGTTCCTGCCACCGGAACACAATCACCAATCTTAGCATCATTGAGGGACAACCAAACATTACATGTCTCCTGACACAATGCACTATGAAGCCCATGGCACTACCTCTGAAGTGTCTGGCCTAAACAAAACAAAACAACAAAAATGAACCTGAATCCAGTTAAATCTGTAGAGTTAAGTTACAGTTTACAGGAAATGTGGGGGGACAAGTTAAGTAACACCCCAAACAAACAGCTAATCCAGAATGTGGGACATTCTACAGGGCAACTGACCTGGTTTTCACAACAAAATAATAGCCTGGGGGGAAAAATGAGAGGGAACCTAAATTAATAGAGACCTACAAATGCAATGTGCAGACCTTGTCTGGACCCTGATTTGAACAAGCCTAAAGTGAAAAGACGTTTTTGAAAAATGGATTAAAATTTAATGATGCTAAGAAATCCTCATTTATTTCACCAGACATGATAACATTATTGTAGGTGTGTCAAAAATGTATGTAGTCTGTAGAGATACATTCCAAAAATATAGATAAAAATGGCATGAGGTCTGGGATTTGCCTTAAAATCTGAGTGATGGGTGCATAAGGTTCATTAGATATTCTACTTTTGTGTATGTTTAAAGTTTTTCATAATAAGATATTTTAAATTACTTAAAATTATTTTTAATATTTTAACATCATTTGTAATAAAGAGTATCATCAGAAACTATAGTAAAGCAATAATAACTATAAGAATAAGTCAATATAATTCAATAGAATTAACATTATGTGCTAGATTTAAGATGAAAATGCAGAGAAAAGCTTTGGGGACAGTTCTATCACTCAAAGACTTATATTTAAGAACCACTGATATGAAAAAGTACACACCTTCTGTTAGCACTCCTGACAGACTGATGACCAATTACTGCCCAAGCCTAGGATCCACTGTCCTAAGATCCTGCCTGTCCTTGCTGTTTTATAATGTTATGCTCTTTTCTCTCATCCCTATGAAAGCAGGAAAAATTACACTTTTAAAGGAAAAGGGATGACAAATGTATGTACACACACACACACACATAAGAAATCCCCATCCAGGCCCATTTCATTTCAAAGTGGGCAAGACTAATTCTAATTCTCCCTTGAAAGGATCTGTCAACAGCTTAGATATCATCAGATTATTTTATAGGCTGGGCCAAGTATGCCAGAGTGAGACAAGAATTATGTCCTCCTGGGAAAGAGACACTGACTTTTTAAGCAATAATTTTCCTCGTTTCTGAATGGCAATGGAATTCAGGATCTGCCCTCTTCCTCTATAAAATACACCCCTCCTCCACAAGAAGATGGCTGATAAGACTGATTCCCCAGGGATAAAAGGACACACTAAAAGGACTCCACGTTGACTAGAACAAGTTATCAATACTGATATGCATTAATGATATCTCCTTGAATTTATAGATTTTCCTTCCAATAGTTTATATATAGTATGAAAATATATAAATATATATATATTCTAAATATAAAATAGGTGACTGTAACTGTCTGGACATGAAAATTAACAAGGTATTTACCTGAACTGGATTGACAAACTTCCCTTCGATCTTCATGATGCTAGAAGTTCCCAGGTCATCTGGACTAAGGGAGAAAGTCAGTTCAGATTCTCTCTCTATAGGGATCTTCTCCAGTTTAAACTGAATGGTGGTGTTGTTCAGGATGTGAAAGGCTGGCATAAGAGAGAGGAAATGACAGTCTGAAAACACTACTACATAGTGCGTTATCGCTGATTAAGAGCAGGATATAGGAAATAGAGCAGGAGGTCCATGATTGAATACAAACTTTGATGACTATCCCAAGATCAAAACTCAGAGCAAGCAGAGGCACAAGATCAATTTATACACAAAAAGAAACAATATTTTCATGACACGCTCCATTTGGTGGCTTCAAAATACGATGTGGTGAACATGAATCCAGGCCAGGGTTTACAATAAGCTTCTCGTAGCCCCGAGCTGGCATTTTTCAAACCAACTTGCTCATCCTTACCCAGCGTCCAGACATAGATGGATTCCTCTTAATGGGCCCAAATCAGAATCGGGACAATACAGGGTTCTAAGCGAACAGCTTTTATACCAAGCAGAGAAAGCAATCGTTGGGTAAGCATGTAAATAATCAGTGAATTAACATCTGAGAAGCACAGAGGAGGAATTCCTCAAAGGCATTACTATCTTCACCAATGAATAAAGCATGCTCCAGGGCTTACCTGACTTCTGAGGATGCCAAGACCAACAGATTCAACTGTTTGGTTTTAGCATATCAGATGGGGCATATTACTCCTAGAATCCTGAACCAACCCATTACAAGAGATGGCAGAACACTTTTAAAAAGAGGACATAACATCCACAGGCTAAATTTCAGATTCTTATTATGTCAATCCCTCTAGCTGCCTTGGACTACGATATTTAACTAGGAAATACCTACAGCTTAGAAATTAAAAAAGCAGATGTATTTGACCAAATGAAACAGTACTTTTCACAGAAACCACTCCTGAAACATCCCTATATATAAGTACTCACCCAATTTCAAAGGGGGCCACTTTAAAAAATTCTTATTTCACCAAATATGGCATTGGATGGAAAAGCTGAAAACATATCAACCTAATACGAAGCATTCTATTAAAATTCCAGTGTGATTTCTTAAATAGTAACTGGGGATAATTCGAAAAAAAAAGGTTTTTGTTGTTGCTTTAAGCATAGTATACATGAGCTGGGTTTGGAATCTATAATAATAAACGCGTAATATGCTAATTAGACCGGATGACCTTCCAGAGGAAGACGGACTGAGAGGGAAGCCCAGGTCCCGGGTGCCAGAGAGAAGCTGGTGCAGGCGGCCAGGGGAAGGAAGGCCTACTCTTGCACGAATTTCATGCGTCAGGCCTCTAGCCTTTAAATAAAATGAGACATGATTAATACTCCTCACCTTGACCTCTATGCAAAGATTCAAAGAAATCATGTCGGGTGAAATGGGCTTCCTCCTGGCTGTTGGTACTGGCAGACCCAGAGGGAGGGTAAGACGCCCGGCTTACGTCAGACCCAGGACCCTCTCTGCCTGCCAGCTGGGTGCAATTCAAAGAGTACAATTTAATGTCTTTGATTTCCACCTGCAGACGGTCGCTTCTGGATTCATCATCTCCTGCCACAAAATTCTGGATGAATATCTGTCCCAAGTGTCCTACCAACAACTCCGGGCTCCCGGGCTTCCGAGGGATAGAAACAACTGGCGATTCAATGTTTATGTTCAAGATTAGCTTTACAGTGTCGGCATGAGAGGCAGCTGGGCTAAACCCATAGATCTCATTGTCTTCCAAGCTAAAGGATTCCCGCGTCTTCCTTGGAGTTTCGAAGAGTGACACCATCTCACTGTACTCGGCTGTCTTGGTAGCGAGCACGGTGGTGACTTTGGTGGCTGCGCTTTTCAGCATACTTCGAAAATTCTCCTCCAGTTCATCCATGGACAATGTCAACTCCTTCAAAAATTTAGCAGAGTGGTTATAATGCAGGGAAGCCATCTTGAGGTTGAGAAAACATTCCTGCTTCGATTTCTCCACAAATGTGAAACTCAACGCTTCATGGAGGGTTGCCTCTTCCATTCTGACAAATACAGATTCAAAGTAACTGATATCGCTGACGATATTTTCATAGCCCATGGAATTCCCGATACTGACAACATATTGGTTCTTAATATTATCTTGTGTCAAATCCATAAGCTGCAAACAACCGAGAGAACCATTCATGTCAAACGTGCTCCCCATTGAGACGTTGACTTTGGTGCCACCTATACTAGCAGTCGCAATTTTTCTGCCATATTTCTCTCCATTCGCCATTCCCACTGTCCGGAGGAGCAGTAAGTTAAGTCGGTGGATCTCCACTGCAACCTCGGTGTTTTGTTCATAGGTAGCTTGGTAAGTTTCTTCTTCCCTAAAGCTTCTTTCAAAGTCAGTCATTAAAGGTTGGGGACTCAAATCATCCTTTTCCTTGGGAAAGGATTTTTGAAGAAAACCAATCAGCTCCACAATTGTCTCTGGATTTAGAATAATATCCAAATTATTTACCTGCAATGAAATCACCTGGAGAGTGCTATCCAAATTCATTGACGGGCACTCTGAACTCACAAACTGATACTCCAATTTAATGAGGGACTCCTGTTCTTTGGTGAGAACTCTGTCAAGTGAGACACTCGCCGCTGACGGGTCGCTCACAGTGACAACATTAGTGAAGGGGGCCACACTGGATCCAGAGACAGGAGACTGGGACCTGCTAGCCCGGAGGCTTCCTGTTGGGATATCAAAGCTCAAGTTCTTGTGTGACGCCATCAAAAGGTCAAAATCTGCACCATATGTCTGCATGGTGTCCACCAGGAGCAAACCATGAACAGTCAGGGAGACTTCGGCATCGTAAGGCCTCTTCACGAAGTGAGCGTTGGTCCCAAACACCTTGAGCACGGAAATGTACTGGCCGTTGCTCTCCACACCAAGCTGCATACAGTTCACTTTAAACTCGGCCAGGAGGAGCTGCGACTCCACCAGGACCTCCCGGGTGTGCTGCTCCAACATCACGATGCTCTGGGTTAAATTCATTACAGAGTCTTGCAGAGTTCCCCGCGGACCCTCTTGGGGGAAAATCTTCTCTTTGATCTGCGAGTCAGAAGTCTTCATTTCTGGCATGGTGAGGAGAGCGAAGCAGTTCTTTAGGGCGGATATTTTATCTTCATTGATGTGGATCTTTAAGTCAGGCAGGTTACCTGAGAGCACGGCTCCGGGGTACTTGGGATCTGAAGTATAAATCAACCGGCGTTCTAACTGTAGGTGAACATTGAATTTCTCGACCACGTGGGTTGGCCCCACATCAATATCCTGGACATGCTTCCAATTGTCCTTCACTCGTCCCACCATGATCTGGAGGTCCATAAACGACAGGGAGTACCTCTCATACATCTTTGTGCTCAATAGATGTGCTTGGAGCTGCTCTTCGCTGATAGAAAATGGAGGTGTTTTCTCCTCATTGCTGCTGCTCGTCTCGGGGGGTGGGGTGTTAGGAGGTGTGGCAAGAGGGGTCATATACTCGTCATCACTAAACTGATTCTCTTCAGAGGCTGACTCATCCACACTCTTCCTCTTGGAGTCATCTGCAGGTAAAAAAGAGAGGATTCTAAGTCTATGTCTGCTCTTGCCTTTTTTCCTTTAAGGTAATGATCAAGAGAAGTAGAGAATCAACCAACCCCAATTTAATAAAAATAAATGGACAAAAACTCGAAGCTGATATTCTGTATTTACCATTTTTCTGTGTGAACTTACCTATTATTTGGAAATCAAAACACAAAGAGAAAGTATATGAACATGAGAAAACATAGAGAACTGCTGTATACATAGGGACACATATCGGGGTACACAAACCAGCAAGCTGCTACCCCAAACTGCATCCACACCATGAGCTGCACTGCCCTGAGCTGCTATCACCAATCCTTTTTACATCACTCTCCACAAGTCTTTGCTTTTTCCTGTTTTTGTCTGTGTGTTCATTTTGTTCCCCCGACTAGAATGTTCCAAAAGAACAGAGGCCTCATCTGTCTTACTCAACACAGTATCGCCAGCACCTAGATCAGTGCTGCGCAAGCAGTGATTTCTCAATATGTCATGTTCTAGCCCCAGTGTTCACACTCTCTTGTACAGCCGAGCAGAGCTGAGACAACTACAAAAACACACCACTGGGGCTCTGGCCGGTTTACTCAGTGGTTAGAGCATTGGCCTGAGGCCCAAAGGGTCGAGGTTTGATTCCCAGTCAAGGGCACGTATCTCAGTTGCAGGTTCCTCAGCCCTGATGGGAGTGCATGCGGGAGGCAACCAATCAATGTGTCTCTCTCACGTCAATGTTTCTCTCTCTTTCCCCCTCCTCCCTCCCTTCAACTCTCTCCAGAAATCAATGGAAAAAATGTCCTTGGGTGAGGATTTAAAAAGAAAAAAACCACTGGGTTTGCTCACCTATGTCCCTATTCCATGTTGTCTTATAAATTCAAGTAGGTGCTTTTTTGTGGTTGTGAGCCTTTTCTTCATTCCCTTTTGCACCAAACTTTACCATTCCTGCTCAAATCATCTACCCTAGTCTCTTTTTTAGGGTTTTCTCAGTGAAGATAAGGTTAAAATTATTTGATAAACTTCCTTAATCTCTCTTACGCCATGAATCCTCTCTTTCTTCCCTCCCATCTCAAGATAAAAATGACTGTACTGGGGATTTTATAACGGCAACGAAATTACCTTCCATGAGTCTCTCTTTATTTTTTATTTATTTTTAAGTCTTACCCAAGAATATGTTTTTACTGGTTTTAGAAAGAGAGGGAGGGAAGGAGAGAGAAAGAGAGAGAGAGAGAGAGAGAGAGAGAGAGAGAGACATCAATGTGAGAGAGAAACATTGATTAGTTGCCTCCCTTAGGGACCCCAACCAGGGATCGAACCCATAACCTGGGTATGTGCTGTGCCCTAATTGGGAATCAAACCCTCGACCTTTCAGTATACAGGACAATGTTCCAACCAACTGAACTACACCGGCCAGGGCCAGGAGTCTCTTTTTATATATGTCCCTGATATCCCTAAGTAGATTAAATCTCTAGTCCTGAAATTAAGTGCTGAGAAATAATGTTTATTAAAACATAAAATGTTACATAAGAAATACAAATAAAAATCACAATGAGAAAATAAATAAAATAAATTTTAAAGAGGCCTGGCCGGTGTGGCTCAGTGGTTGAGCATCAACCTATGAACCAGGAGGTCATGGTTAGATTCCCACTCAGGGAACATGCCCAGGTTGTGGGCTCCACCCCCAGTGTGGGGTATGCAGGAGGCAGCCGATCAATGATTCTCTCTCATCATTGATGTTTCTATCTCTCTCTCCCTCTCCTTTCCTCTCTGAAATCAATAAAAAAAAAAAAAAAGAAACCACAATGAGATACTGTATCACCCATAAAAATGGCTATAATCCAAAAGACAGATAATAACAAGTGTTGGCGAGGATGTAGAGAAATTGGAGCCCTCATACATTGCTAGTAAGAGTCAAATGGTGCAGTCATTTTAGGAAATAATCTGGCAGTTCCTCAAAATGTTTAACTAAAGCCACCATATGACCCAGCAATTCCACACTGAAGTATACCCGAGAGACTGAAAATAATGTCTACACAAAATCTACCCATAAATGTTCACAGCAGCTTTATTCATAATAGCCAAAAAGTGGAAACAACACAAATGTCCATCAACTGATGAATGGATAAGTAAAATATGATATGTTCATATAAGGAATATTATTCAGCCATTAAGTGGAAATGAAGTACTTATGCATGATACAACATGGGTAAACCCTGAAAACACTATGCTAAGTGAAAGAAGCCAGACATAAAAAGCCACCTATTGGATAATTCCATTCTTATAAACTGTTCAGAACAGGCACTCTCTGGGTATCTCAGGAGCATACCCACGCCCCCGCCCCCACTTCTTTCCCCAAAGACATGCATCTCCTAAACGCTAAGGGACCCCATAAGGCTTGCAACCAGGGCAGCAAAGGGCAGCGGCAGTTCATCCCAGGCAAACCCCCTGAGCCTGTCCCCAAGGCCCCCTTTTCTCTGACTTCTTAGTGAGCCAAAGCAGACCAGCCTGGGCTCATTTCCCCAGACCTTCCTTGTCCCCAGCTTTAATAAACATCCTCTAAAATCCCCCGACCCCAACCCCACCTCGCCCCATTCAGAACAGGGAAATCCAGAGATAGAAAAATTAGTGGTTGGAAGGGCCTGGGAGAGGGGGTGATGGAGAGTGATTGCTAATGGGTTTAGAATTTCTTCTTGGGATGATGAAAATGTTCTGGAATTAGGTAACAGTGACAGACGCACAATTCTAGCAATATGCCAAAAACGAATGAATTATACATATTAAAATATATCTCAATAAAGCTGTTATTTTTAAAGTAACAAATGAACTTTGGAGTTTTAAAATGTTAATAAACCTTTTTTTAAGCTTTACTTGGTTAAGCATAGACAGATTAACCTACCAAGTTATGTTTTCATTACTCCCATTCACACTATACCTTGGGTATTGGTCAGTAGCATTCTTCCTAGATCCACAACAACTAACACAGGATTCTTGAATTTGAAATCATCAGGAAATATCACTTGAGGGGCAGAAATATCTAGTCGTACAGTCCACCGTTTACTGTCCTCCTATAAAAATAAAATAAACTACAATCAAATAACTTTTAACTACATTGCTGAAACTGAACAGCTTTATAAGTCAGGGCTCAAGCCTTTCTTTAATTGTGATGACTGATAGTTTAAGAAAGATCTTGTTCCTAAATCTACATAACTTAGTACTATAAAGTATTGCAGAAATTATGGAACTCAAATAAACATAGAAATCCAAATATTTTTATTTCTTCACTAGAGGCCCGGTGCACATTCACCGGTGGGGTCCCTCGGCCTGATCTGTGGGGATCAGGCTGACACCGGCTCTCCGACATCCCCTGAGGGGTCCTGGATTGCAAGAGGGTGCAGGCCAGGCCAAGGGACCCCACCAGTGCATGATTGGGGCTGGGGAGGGACCACAGGAGGGCTCCAGGGCGTGTCCAGCCCATCTCGCCCAGTCCCAATCGGCTGGATCCCAGCAGCAAGCTAACCTACCAGTCGGAGCGTCTGCCCCCTGGTGGTCAGTGCGCATCATAGCAACTGGTCGAAAGGTCAAACGGTTGGACACTTAGCATATTAGGCTTTTATTATATAGGACAGACAGTAGTAACTATGGATTTTAAAGCCAGAATACATTAATGAAAAACATAAGGTTTGACATTTGAAACATATTTAGAAAAACAGAACTCATGAATTTGTCACCTGTTCTTCCCTGCAACTAAAATGGCCTCAATTACACGTATGTAATAAAAGCTAATGTGTATGTGATCAAAAAGAAATCTTTATCTAAGAAAATAGGACACTAATTGTAATTTGTGTTGAAACGCACACACAAAGACAGCAAACAGGACTGATTTTCCATCCCATACTATGCACAAACCCTGAAACATTTTACTTAGAACAGTCCTGCCATCCCTTACACCCCAACAGGCTCTGCACTGTGCAAAAGAAGCCACACTCTAACTGCGCCATCTACTGCCGCATCTCGGCAGTGCACCTCCATGCTGGCGTTAGGAAACGGAGTTTGGCTGGACTGATGTTTTTTGGCTCTCCCTGGCTGTGACATCCTTGCATCAGCTGGTCACTTAGCATCACAAAGTGCCCATCATATCCTGGAGTGGAAACTGAGGGGTAAATCTGGCTATTTTTCTTCTGGTAACAGTAAGTGAAAAGGGGGTACTCTGAAGTGAAACATTTATAAAATATCAGGTCTAGAAAATGGAACAAAGATGAGTCTTGAGAATGTTCCAAATTTGGTACAAGGAAGAAACATGATCTGGTCACAAACATTCATTTTGATTTTTGATTTTTTAATTCACTAAACTCTGACTGTAAAAGACATAAGATTTTTTTTTTTTTTTGCTAGCTGATAAGGATTTCATAGTTTCAATTTAATCAGTGTAAATGATACTAGCATGCCTATCCAAAACAGGTCAAGAACTTGACAGAGCGCACACCTGCCCCTTCCCCAGCCCCGCAAGAGTGTTTACATAGAGCCACTTACAATGAAGTCACCCACTAGCAGACGATCGAGAGTTTGACGGATTTCTGCCTTGGTCTGCATCTTCAGTTTGTCATACTGCCTTCGGGCAGCCTCAGCCACTCTCAACTCAAGTTCAGACTGATAACCAAAGCCTGCAAGAATGGAAAGACCTTTCAAATGGCGTGGTGGACGAAAGCACTGCGACATCTGTTCTCACCAAGAATTTCCACCAAAACTAAAAAACAGTCTATGACAACAGTTCCTTCCTCCAGCCTGGCCTGGCACTATACAGGTAACAGGTCCGAGGCACAGATGGGTGAGGGACAACCCTGAGGAGAAAGGCAAGGAAGGTACATAAGGTGCTAGAATTTCTTGAATTATTATCTGAAAGAGTCCAAACTATTTTATTTCAAAACCTTAAAAGCATGGCATCACACTGAAAGAGGAAATGGGCCCTAGCCAGTATGGCTCAATGGATAGAGCGTCAGCCTACAAACTGAAGGGTCCCAGGTTCAATTCCAGTTAAGGGCACATGCCCAGGTTTCGGGCTTGATCCACAGTAGGGGGGGTGCAGGAGGCAGCCAATCAATGATTCTCTCTCATCATTGATGTAATTCTCTCTCTCTCTCCTTCTCCCTTCCTCTCCCTCTCCCTGCCTCTCTGAAATCAATAAAAATATATTTTTTTTAAAAAGAAAGAAGACATGGAATTTAGAGGGAAATGCCTTCTATATTCTATCAGTGAAGGAGCAATGAAGCCAAGACATTTATGGCTAGTATTTGCATGAAAAGAATTCAAAAGAGACCAAAAACTAAAACAGCTTCATTAATTATTATAAGAGGGAGGGAGGGGATACATTTAGCTAAGTAATATTATTTTATCAATTTCCCTTCAACAAAAGAACCTTTTATGCACCTACTGCAGAAAACAAAGGAAGACATTAAGGCAGTGATGTGGGAGAGGGCAGTGATGAACTTTGCAGTATTTAATGCTGCACCAAGCACACAAAACAGACATTGATCCTGTCTGCCACCTAGAAGGAAATTCTTGGACATGCCTCCTAAATTCAAGTGATCTAAAATATCCTGGGTAGCCAAGGAAACTGCCATCCAAATGGAATGGGAAGTATTAAAAAATGTTTGCTAAATAGAGGCAAAGAAAAAGAAAATATTTAAGGATATTGATTTAAGGCCTTTGCTACCACTACAGGCCACCTGAATGTGCAATAAGCCTTGTCCAGAGCGCCAGAAATGACAGGAAAGATGTCTTGAGAAAGGAACGTTAGAGCAAACAAACAAAAAAGTTAACCTGAGGTATGAACCTTTCCCTTGTAGAAAAAGTCAGCTACTTTTTTAATAGCCTGGGGATTATAGATGATGTTCAAGGGCCTGGTGCTGACATTCAGCCGCCTCTCGAAATGGCTGTGCACTGGGTTTCTTTCATACAGCATCTCAAACACTGGGGCATCTGGGTCCGCAGCTGGAGGAAAGAACCAGAGTGAGAAATGGAACACGGCAAAATCAACCACCCGATTCTTAACAGACCAGGAGGCATTCGGAGAAAAGACACCTCCTAAATTATTTTCCAGTTAGTTCACATTTACACACATTTATGACCCTTAATAAGGATTGACCCTTAATTATGACAGGACTCCTCAAGAAAGGTGGTTGCATTTGCTCCCATTATGAAAACCAAGAACCCTGAAGACCTGGGAGGCTGCCCCAGAGAGCACCAGGCTGCCTCCAAGTCAAACAGGGGTCCACACAGCAAAGCACTGGCCACACAACAAGACACGCCCCCTCTTTTACAGGTAATCAAGACTACTGATCTGTAATCATCGTATTTTCCAGGATTAGTTTTAAGAACATACTACAAATTACCAGGGTAGTGATCACTTCTGTCTGCAGATGTTGTTTGGAGACCAAAAGACTGTGAAACTCTGCCAACTTCTTTTTCCTATTAACACACACAAAATGCATAAATGTCAGCGGGAGAGGGCACACATGCTTTGGCATCGCTCTCACCGAGCACAATCAAATCAAAACTCATCTGATATCAGATCACAGAGGACTTGCAGAACAATCCCTCTAGTCTGTGCCCTTTTCCCAACCTAGTGAAAACACGTATTTTCTTCTGCACTGACAATGCTACTTGGCATTCCGACATTTAATGAATGACTGCTAAATAAGGAATATTAACCGTGTACAGCTGTTCAAACTCTCACTCTGCACTCCCACTCTCTCCACAAGTCCACACACCCCCCAACAAAAAATATTATGGGCAGAGTAAGTGGCTAAATTTATTCAATTATTCTGACCATATCTTGGACAATTTGTTAAGATTGAAGATCTATAATTAATAAATAATATTCTATGTAAAAATTAGCATATATATAGAAATTGAGATGGTTTTTCTTGGAACTCTAGGAAGAGAATAGGTCCTATCAAGTGACTAATGGTCAGAATGCATACAAAGGTCTGTCAGACACAGAGAAAATTCAAACATTAACCCTGAAATGCAGAAAACAGCAGTGCTAATGGCATTTTCTTCCAAATCAGAGCAAACTATTCCATGTTCACTACAACACAGGAAAGGAAGAGGGCATTGCCATAAATCCCACCAACATCTGCTCTCTAATAAATGTTAAAAACTTATCTAGCCCTAGCCATGTGCTCAATGGTTAGAGCTTCAGCCCACACACCAAAGGATCTCGGGTTCAATTCCCGGTCAAGGGCACATACCTGGGTTGCAGGTTTGATGCCCAGCCCCAGTCAGGGTGCATGTGGGAGGCAGGCAATCAATGTCTCTCACATTGATGTATTTCTCTCCCTCTCTATCCCTCTGCCCTCCTCCCTCCCTCTAAAAATCAATGGAAAAAATACCCTTGGGTGAGGATTAAAATAAATAAATAGATAAATAAATAAAAAATAAAAAACTTATCTAACTCCAGATTGCCTTTAATTGGCCATCTGTCTCAAGATGATCAAATGTCAAAGTGAATCAAGTTAATATTAACTATTGCTTGCCTAAAACAGACCTGCATCACCATCACCCAGATGGACTCGCCACCCCACCGCTATACGTACTGGATTAGGGAAGACCAGAAGAGGAAACATCGTTCCTTCTGTGGCCAGGTCTCGAAGAAACAGGCCACCCAACCGGACTAGAAGCAAGGAAGAATTTCTTCGAGGAAGGGATTCTGCCAAAAGCTTTACATCTATAAAAAAATAAATATAAGAGTGATACTACGCCATGACAGCCTAAAGTGTTTTATAAGCATTAGGTATAATATTTTACAGAGGACTATTAGATATCATGAACTATTTTGCCTTGAAATCGGAAGAAAAAAAACCCTATCTGTTTATCTATACGTCTATGTGTATAAATCCACCTATATAAATATATAAGGAATATCAGACACTTCATAGCAGAACGAATTTTAAACAGAGCATTTTACAATTAAATTCAAGCAATCGGCTAGTACATATTAAGTTTATGAAATCCTGATTCTCAAGATTATAAAGTCAAACAAACTGGCTTTTTTTGGGGGGGTGGGGGTGGTCATTTGCCGCTAAGCCAGTGGTTCTCAACCTTCCTAATGCCGCGACCCTTTAATACAGTTCCTCATGTGTGTAAAATTATTTTCGTTGCTACTTCATAACTGTAATTTTGCTACTGTTATGAATCGTAATGTAAATATCTGATATGCAGGATGTATTTTCATTGTTACAAATTGAACATAATTAAAGCATAGTGATTAATCACAAAAACAATATGTAATTATATATGTGTTTTCCGATGGTCTTAGGCGACCCCTGTGAAAGGGTCGTTCGACCCCCAAAGGGGTCGAGACCCACAGGTTGAGAACTGCTGCTCTAAGCTATACTAGAAACTTCAGGTAAGTGACTATTTTATGAAATGAAATATTTGTGAGTTGTAAAACCAACCTCTGTATTTATTTATACAACTATAATTCAAAGTCACAAGAAGTCAAACACAGCTGATCTTCATCATTGGCCGATTCCGTATTTGCGAGTGTGCCTATTCACTAAAGTGTATTTGTCGCCCCCAAATCAATGCTCGTGGTGCTTTCGAGGACATGGGCAGGACAGCAAAAAATGTGGGTTCCCAGCTGAGGCTGAACAAAGCACGCTCTGCCTTCTGGTTCCAGCTCTCACACTGTACACTGTGCCCTCTTCATGGTCCATTAAGTGCCAGGTTTTTTTTGCCTTTTCCTGCTTTTTGTTGATTTCACTGCTCACAATGGCCCCCACGCATATTGCTGAAGTGCTGTCTAGTGTCCCTGAGCACAAAAAGGCTGTGGTGTGTCTTCCAGAGAAAAATCTCTGTGTTAGATACGCTTCACTCAGGCAGGCATTACACTACTGTTGGCCGTGATTTCAGCATTAATGAATCAACAGTATATATTAGATAAGGTGTCTTTAAACGCATCACACGTAAGACAAGGTTCTGTACTGATCGTTTAATGGGTGTTAGAGCCAGAGGTTCCCAGGCACCTAACTGTGTGCTTCCCCCTGGGGACGATGATCGCAGCAACTTTCCAGAACATTACTACTCAAATAATGAGATTCGCATGGACACGGGCACCCTGAGAGATGAACACCAGCCGGGGGTTCTGGGGCAGTACCTGAAAACTCGAGCTGCATGAAAGCACTTTCCTGGGTCTGAGGAGTGCCTGGCTCCTGGTGCGACAGAGTCACGGTGCCCCGCTGCAACTGCAAGTTCAGCTTGGCAAAGACGTGGTCCCGCCTGGTGTACGTGTTCATGCAGGAGGCGTCCGCAGCGGGGTCAAAAAAGTCCTCGGTGCCTGCCCATGAGGAAGAAACGAGGTTAAGAAAATACATGGGAAAACTTCCGAAGCAAAACCAGGCACACTGGTCAGTCATGATGACGTTGTGTATCCATTGTCCCTTTCTTTGGAAAGAACTCCAGAGCTGTGGGCGACTGTTTTTATTCACTAATTTAAAACAACCCAACTGCTTCATCAGGGCTCTTACAACTTATTCCCAACCGGGAGGACGTTCAGGTTCACAGGCAAGTACAGGAGAAAGCCGTGCTGCCCAACATAGTGAAACATTCTCCACCTGCACTGTCCAGGGCAGTGGGCACACCTGGCACGTGTGGCTAATGTGGCTAGTGTGACTGAGAAAGCCAATCTTTTGTTTTATTTAATTTTAATTAATTAGAGTTTAAACGGTCATGTGTGGCTATGGAAACCATACTGGGCAGTGAGGGTCTGAAGAGTGGCTCTGGACTGGGATTGGAGCGTCAGTTTAAAATTTCTGAACTTGCCCACATTTAGTTCTCTTACCAGCCCTGTCGCTAAGATCTACCTGACAAGGTGCTAATATTCAAATTTAGTAGCAGAGTTGTAAATGAAGTGTCTCCCAAAACCGCCTCGCTCTGTCTCTATGAATATGAGACAAACAGTTTTACAAATCTCTACTTATTTTTGTTTGCTTGAAAATATCATGGATTGTTTCAAAAGTAGCAGAAAAATAATTATGAACCCAGCATCTCCCTTCACCACCACCCAGAGGGCTAAGGGGAAGGAGCCGCCTTACCCAGGATCTCTTCAGGAGTCCACTGCTCGTGCTGCTCTGCTGACAGCCCCTCGACTGGCTTCCCCGACCAGCCGCCCCAGCCAGGAAACCAGGACTGCAGGTACTGCAGCATCCCACTGCCCGCACCGCTGCCTGGGTCTCCAGGACAGTCTCCTGGAGAATCAAACTGAGGCTCTCGCAGGCTCTGTGCCAATCAACAATGAGCAACATGAGGACCCACAGACAGAACCAGCTGTGGCTGCCCACCCCCCGTCCCCCAAGCATAAGCACACCCAAGGGGAAGCGCTCAGAGTGCTGGGGCCGAGCACGTCTCCTCACAGAGGGCTCCTTACCTCTGCCAGCTCCTCTTGCTTGTAAAATCGTTCGTGCACCAGCTCACGCAAAATCTTCAATTCCTCAAAGCTCTGTTCCTCTTCAATCCGACACATTTCCTCCTGTTGGGGTGAAAACAAAAACAAACAAACAGAACAGGTGTTATAGCTCCAGAGAACTGGACACTCTCGCACACCACTCACTACAAGGACTGTGATGGAACCTCTCCGGTCCCCAACATCTCCACTGAAGGCCAAGAAACAGTGAAGACAAAGAGCTAGGTCAATGGTTGCTATGCTTCCGGTTTAAACAGCTCTTCCACATAACTCCAACCGTACTTGGTCCCTGAGACCAACGGTAATTACAGAGGAAGGTGACTAGTTATTCTTCTTCCCACTTCGATGAGGAAACTCAGGACCATGTTTACACAGGAAGTGTGCAGGCCTCTAGCTCCTTTGTTTCACACGTGCATTTGCAAGGAAGTAGTCATTTAAATTTGTTTCATGCTAGTTAGGAAAGACCAAGAGCAGCCAGCTACATGCAAATATGCAAAAGACAGAATTCGCTATCCTAAACTGTTCTTATACCCTAACATTAGGAAAAGGAAATTATGTGTGTTTCACATAATTTACAACAAAAAAATGTCTGGTTGACCCCATCATTTCCAGAAGTTTCCCACGTCAGTAACCAGGCCTGATACTGGTGAAAAAGTGAGTGGGTCGTGCCTCGGGGTGCCAGCGGGAGAGGTGAGAACGCCTAGGGATTCAGCACTGAGTGGTTACCACACCGTGGGATGCTCTCATGGGAGGAATGTTTGTGCCCCGCTCAGTTCAAATGCTGAAGCTTTAACCTCCAATGTTATGGGATTTGGAGATAGGACTTTGGGAAGTAATTAGGTTGGATGAGGTCGTGAGGGTGGGATTTCATGATGGGATTAGTGCCCTTCTAAGAGAAAGGGGACAGATTTCTCCCTCCACCAAGAAAAGGCCATGTGCACACACAGTAAGAAGGCAGCCAGGAGGAGGAATCTCACCAGAACCCGGCCAAGCTGGCACCTGGATCCTGAACTTCCCAGCCTCCAGACTGAGAGAAATAAATGGCTGGTTTTTTAAGTCCAGGCTATAGCATTTTGTTAGAGCAGCCTGAGTGAAGACAGGTGCTAAAGGGAAAGTAAGATTCCTTTTTGCTTGGAAGGGTTTACTAAAGAAACAGTTAATTAAAAGATAACACCTGAGAAGAAATATTAGAAACAGTCTAAATCACTTTGCAAAAATTGATGCTCACAAAACGGAAACAAATCCAGGAGCAAAGCAATCAGCAATCCCCACTCCCTCTCCTAGGAGAAGAGGAGAGGTACTAGAGCAGGCTGGGGTCCAGGCCAGCACTCCAGGCCTGATGGTTCTAAGAGGCTCTAACCCTACAATTAGCAAGAAAAGCTGACCTTCACCACCTACTTCATCCCCTCTGCCTAGCTTCTACCTCAAAACCTCAAGCAAATCAATTGGGCTTAGGGAAAGTTTAGGCCAAAGCCTACAGAGATGAGCTACAGACTCAGAGAAAAAAATCAATGACGAGGAATGGGCTTTGAAGAGATGCAGATGACTAGCTGAAGAGTCTCTGTGAGCCCTGCACAGGGCGCTGAGGGAGGAGGGGATGGGCGTGGGGAGTGGGCACGAAGGCACGGCTGGACCACAGCCCCTTTCCCTCCTTCCAGCCCATGGCCCGCTCTCCTCAAGCAGCAGGTGTGGGATGCTTCTGGTGGAGGTGAGGCCATGGCCTTCCAACAAGCTCTCACCCTAGTAAGACCCACTCTATCCCGTGAAATGAAATTCTGTAGCAAGGGACTTGATTCCTTCACAGATTCCATTTTCTTCAGCCTTTGAGAGAACAGCATTCTTACCCTCTGATGACAAGAAACACAAGGCAACGGCCCGCTCACCGTGTCGTCTGCAGACAGCAGGCCTCCTTTCAGTTTGCTGAAGTACTTGTCGGTGTAGGACACGGCGTCGCGGGCGCGGTGCAACAGGAAGTCCCAGGTGCAGCGCTTCCTCTGCTCTCTGATCTCGTGCAGGTTAGCATCCAGGGCAAAGTACCACCATTCTCGGCAGCTGAAATATTTCGTAACAATGTCATTACTTCTTACCTTGAAAGCACCTAAAATGCTGTCCACCCAGGGCAGCCCACAGAACACCACTCCTATTCTGAGACAACTTTTCTCTTGTCAGCCGTCATTTTTTGCCACAAACTCATTTTAAAATATTGGGCTGAACTCAACATGGGGGTAAAGCAAATCTACATCATATGAGAATAACATTTCCCTCAATTGGTTTGAAGGACCCATATCAGTCCCCTCCATGACAGTCAAGTGGTGACTGGAAGGTAAATGCCATCATAAGATAATTACCACGGATTTGACTACTGACAATTTTAAGTGGAATACTTCAGAAAAGACATGGGAATGCACAGGATCTAAGAGAATTTTAATATACTGGATTGGCCCAGTTTATCACTGCAGCATGAACAGATTTCTTTTCGCTATAGAAGTTAGAAAGTGCACTATGTAAGTGTCGACCAAACAACCTGGGAGAAAAGACATAGGGAAGCAGATTCAAAGAATCAGGTCCCATCCGAGCAACCCCAGTCTACCTGCTGAACAAGACCAAGAGGGCCTTCTCACTTCCCCTACGCCCAACCTAAGGCTAACACGTCACCAAATCAACAGACGGTCAGAATATCAACAGTGATAAACAACAGAAATGGCATTTAAAGGCCAGAAAAATCGACTCTACTTTTACTAGTATCTCCAGCCACGTGCAAAGAACAGTGAGGGATATTTCTGATCTATATACAAAAAAACCCAAAATGTACTTCATATACAACAACTGGCGAGCCCTTACTTCCCAGAGATGGCCACTTTGGGTTTCCATTTTCGAAACTTCGCCTGCCTCTCCTTCCGTTCCAGCTCCTTGAGGAATCCCATGATTTGCCGGTATTGCAGCTTTTAATAGAGATTAAGAGATGCTAGGTTAGAACTGATTTGTTGCTTTTACCCAGTGAAGACATGTATCTAACAAGAACAATTCATATTAGTCAATCCACCTAATTGAAAACCAGTGCAAACCGGAAGACCAAATTTCCGCACCAAGTGGCACTTCTCCCAGGACTCTGACAGTTAAGTGTTGACATGACTGTGCTCTTGGGCTCTGCCCAGCACTTAAAAACCAACTCAGAACTAACCTGAGATCAGCCCAATCCAACCGCACTACAGATAATGGATTCTACACCTACCACAACCGTGGGCACAACTTTCTGTGTCCTTTCTTTCCTACTGGGGTGCTGTGAAGTATTGCGGCCCTTCTACCGACATGCTCATTCACCCCAGTTCCCAGTCTGACGGTGAGAGCAGAGACCGCTGGGGAAAGAGGGGTACCTGAGAGAGTTTCAAGGGGATGGTCTCCAGCTGGATGTCGCATTCAAAACGGGGAGTGTGCCGAGACCTCAGAGGCTCTTTGGAGCAGTTTCTCCTCAAAAGGGCAGATGCGCATACCGGCTCCAAGATGTAGTGATGATCGCGGCTCTCCATGCTCTTGCCCATGGCCTCCTGAGTGTCACAAGAACCTCTGTCAGTTTTCTGGTTTTGTAACCATTCTCACACAAATGGTGTATGTCCTGTTTTGCCTTAGTTTTTTTAAACATAATACTTAATACTGTGTCTTAGAGACTATTATATATGGTCTTTGCCCTTATTTTATAGTTGCATACTGCTGTACTGTATGGAAGCACAGTATTTATTTAATCAAACTAACAAAACAAAACCATTCCGTATGATAGCATCAAGCCAAAGATAATCTTGGGTGGGACAAAAAGCGAGTCCTTTTTCTCTATTTCACTTAAATCAACTACAATTACTTTAGAAGATTAAACAGATTATTTTGTAAGCCTTCACAAACAGTAATACTTTATATACAACTAGAGGCCTGGTGCACGAATTCGTGCACTGGTGGAGTCCGGCCGGCCCGCCCCGATCAGGGCCGATTAGGCTGGGCTGGCGGGAGGGGACTCCGGAGGTTGGCCAGCCAACCCCACCCCCTGGTTGAACTCCTGGTCAAACTCCTGGTGGAGGGGACAATTTGCATATTAGCCTTTTATTATATAGGATGATTTATAATGATCTTGTAAGTCAGCGGTCACCAACCTTTCAAACCTCACGGACCACCAGTGGTCCACAGACCACCGGTTGGCGACCGCTGATCTAAGTAGTTCTTAACGGAATTCCACCAAAGGTGAAGTGTCAACATAAACATAAGAAAGCTCTTCTTTAAGAATCCCATCTGGTGCTTTGTTCAATGAAAAACTGAATGCCTAGTATATGGTGGCTAGAAGAATGGATAACCATATGTTTGATGCATACAGTGGATTATGCAGTAGTCAGAGCAATGAGCTAAATCCCATCTGGTGCTTTGTTCAATGAAAAACTGAATGCTAGAAGAATGGATAACCATATGTTTGATGCATACGGTGGATTATGCAGTAGTCAGAGCAATCAGCTAGAAGAATAAACAGCAACACTGATCCATCTTAAAAACATAGCCTTTAGTGGAAAAAAAAACACAAGGAAATCTAAAATGCAATGTAAATGTAAAACATACACAAAACACGACATACTGTTCAGTTATATACATAGCAAATACCTCAAGCAACACACTTGAGAGTGGGTGCCTATGGAGGGGGGTTGGGAACAGGAATCAGAGACGCAGAGAACAAAAACCTACACGACAGTGACCCTGCACCCCCTCACTTCAGTGCAGTGTCGCAATACAAGCAACACACTTGAGAGTGGGTGCCTATGGAGGGGGATGGGAACAGGAGTCAGAGACGCAGAGAACAAAAACCCACACGACAGTGACCCTGCACCCCTTCACTTCAGTGCAGTGTCGCAATAAGCCCTCTGCCAGAACCATACCTGCAACTCCAGCTGAGGCAAATCCCCTAGTAAAGTGCAATCGACATCCCAATAGATGCTAAACTCTGCCACATCTAACTGCTTTTTCCGCATTAACTTCTGCACCTGAGGTAAGACAGGGAAGAAAACAAGATGACTCCATAGTCATGACTTTATTCATTCGTTCAACAAGCCATTTGTGAAGAATCATCCATCAGGCACCTTTGCAAGGTGCTGGGGATACAAAACTAGACTAAAGCATGGTTTTGCTCTCCCAGAGTTCAAGCCTAGCTAAGTGGGAATACAAACATGCAAACAATTTTAATTAAGCAGAGGAAAGCAGAGGGAGAGTATTTAAGAAGCCACAAGCAAACAAAGAGAAAACAGCACTGCATGACTCAGAGATGTGTAAGTTTCAGGCATAGAGCCGGTAAGAGGAAAGGACGGGGACGCATTGCAAAGAGTAGGGCCAACGATACAAAATGCCTGATAACCCAGAGGACAGTGAGTTTGTGTGACTGGAGCACGGCTCATGTGCTGTGGGGGCAGTAATCATACATGTGTATGAACACATTTGGTATCGGAGTTAGTTAGGTGTTGAGATAAGTAGATTGGATGTTACTAGGTGTACTGGGTTGAATAGTTTCCTCCCCCAAAATAGTCATGTCCTCCCAACACCTGTGAATGGGACCTTATTTGGAAACAGGGTCTTTGCAGATGTAATGAAATTAAAATGAGGTCATATTGGATTAGGGTGGGCCCTATGGTGCCCTTAAAGAAGAAAAAAAAAAAGACACAAAGGAGAAGGCCATGTGAAAAAAGAGGCAGAGATTGGAAAGATGCATCTATAAGCCCAGAATGACAAGGCTACCCCCTGAGGCAAAGAGAAAGGCATGGAACATTTCTCCCTCAGAGCCTCCAAAGAATCCACTCTACCAACTCTTTGATTTTGGATTTCCACCCTCCAGAACAAGAGAATACATTTCTGTTGTTAGAAGCCACCTATTTGAGCTTATCTGTTATGGCTGCCCGGACGCTGACACACTAGGAAAGGAAGTATACACCACACCAAGGACTCTGGAGCTCATACTTTACGTGACAGGGAGTCCCGAGGGTTCTGATGCAGGTATGCACCAGGACCGGGTATGTGTTTTAGAAACAGAACTCTGGCAACAGTGCAAAGTAGAGCTCCCGCTGGGGTGCCAGAGAAAAGGAGCCATGAGTCACATCAAGATAATGAGCAAGCCCTAGCCGGTTTGGCTCAGTGGATAGTGTGTCGGCCTGCGGACTGAAGAGTCCTGGGTTCAATTCCAGTCAAGGGCACGTGCCTGGGTTGTGAGCTCAATCCCCAGTAGGGGGCGTGCAAGAGGCAGCCAATCAATGATTCTCTCTCATCATTGATGTTTCTATCTCTCTCCCTTTCCCTTCCTCTCTGAAATCAATAAAAATATATTTAAAAAAAAAAGATAATGAGCAAGTTTATAGGATCAAGTTACTTTTTAGAAATACTTGGTTACTCTGAGCTAACCACATCCTTTTGCCCCCGTGTCCCGTACAAATACTCCTTGTTTTCTGTGTGCCATGGCGTGGAAAAGGGTGGGAAGCGTTGGCACAGAATGAATCGAGAGCCTGGGATGGCAGCAAGGAGGTCACCGAACAGGATGCTTTATCGGCCCAGGCAGAAGGTGACAGGATCCTGAACTCAGACAGGTGCAGCGTGACTAAGAGAAGAGCTACCTTTGAGACACTGTGCAGGAAACATTGGCAGGATGCTGTGATCAAATGGACATGGATGCTGAGGAATGAGAAGTGGAAGGATGAGCACGGAGCTTCTAGAGATTAGGGGAGTGGGTAAGAACACATGATCTGGAGCAGGGATGGCAAACGTTTTCTGAAAAGGGCCAGCGAGTACACATGAAGGCTTTGTAGACCCTACAATCTCTGTTGTAACGACTCAACTCTGCCACTGTAGCACAAAAGCAGCCTTAGACACTACACACAAAGGGCACGGCAGTGATCCAATAAGTCTTTTTTACAAAAACGGGTGGGGGGCCAACCTGCCAACCCCAGATGCAGAGCTGATCCGCCCTCCTGTCAGCGCTCTGCACCTCAGCACCTCAGCCACACCAGGAGGACAACAGTGGTGGTGAAAAGCACGGAGAATTCAATGAGCCATCGTGCAAAGCACAAAGAACAGTGTCTCGCACATAAAAGCGTTCGTAAGATGCTAGTTTTCATTTGCTTGTTTGGACCTTCAGTAACATGTTAGAAAATAAAGGGGAAAAGTTGTTTCAGGGGAGCAAATTGGACAGATGGGACATAATGGGATCGTTTTGGTTATAAGCCTAAATGCCCTAGCGGCGTCTGTATCCACAGGTAGATGGATATGAATATAATGGTCAGTCCGGAGGGGGAGAATGGAGTGCAAGTGGAAGCCATTAGCAAATACTCCCAGGTGGCCACTGAAACTATGAAACAGATGAGTTTACCTGGGAGGGCACATGGTATGAGAAGAAAACCAAAGATGAAAGCCTCTCTACACCTTGATTTCTTTGTGGAGAAAATGAAAGGGGCTGCGCCAACATTTAAAGGATGAGGGACAGAACAAAAGGTCAGAGAAACTTAACTGTTTCCCTATTTCAGCAAATTAGATGTATTACATACAGGCCAGAGACATACATGCAGGGAAAGACCCCGGTGGAAAAGAATGCAATCTCATTCACATGAGGCAAGATGACAAGAGCAGAGCCCCAGACTCCCCACAACTACTGCTTTCTTCCTGGCTCAGTCATATTTCATACTCACAGGCTCATTCACCGCATTTTGCATGGACACATTCTTAATGCAGATGCCAAAGGCAAAAGGGTGGGAAGGATTGGTAATACCGTCTTCGAAGCGCAAGTGAACATCTTGAATTTTTAACTGCAAAGGGGAGAAAAAATAAAAGCACGTTTAGGCCACTGCTACGGGTGGAAGACTAGAGATAGGAGTCACACTGCCCTGAGCCGCATTAAGTAAGTCACAGCTGGCATTTTATACACACATCACAGAGCCAATGCTCCTCAAGCCCCTCAGCGTTAGTCACAAACTGGACACACACAGAAGAGAGCTACAATACCTTCATTAAGTCAACTCAGAAGACACCACAGAGACACATTAGAAGAGAGTAATACCGCTGTATCCAGGTACCTGGCCCTCCCTCTATGATAGAGTTGCCTGCGTCCCCACACCTAGATACAGGAAATCAGCAGGACATATACAGTTTGTACCTATTTATTTCTTTACTTCCCTCTGCCCCTGAAGACAAGCTAGCAAAAAGGCATGCTGCTTCAGTGAATTAAAAAATAATAATAGAAAGTGAAAACACAACCCACAAAATGGGAGAAAATATTTACAAATCATATGTCTCATAATGGACTAGAATATTAAAAATACACTTACAACTTAATAATTAAAAAAACAATAAACCAAGTTCTAAATGGGCAAAGAATTTGGATAGACATTTCTCCAAACAGGACTTATAAATGACCAATAAGCATATGAAACGATACTCAGCAACATTAGCAAATCAAAACCACCGGCCAGCGGCTCAGTGGTTGAACATTAACCTTGAACCAGGAGATCACAGTTCAATTCCCAGTCAGGGATCATGCCTGGATTTTGGGCTCAATCCCCAATGTGGGGCGTGCAGGAGGCAGCCGATCAATGATTCTCTCTCATCACTGGTGTTTCTATCTCTCTCCTCCTCTCCTTTTCTGAGGTCAATAAAAATATATATTTAAAAAAATACACGGTGAGATACCACTTCATATCCACTAGCGTGGCTATAATCAAAAGAGAGACAATAACAAGTGCAGATGAGGATGAGGAAAAATTGAAGCGCTCATACATTATTGGTACAATTGTAAAATAGTGCGGCCACTTTGGAAAACAGTTTGCTAGTTCCCCCAAAAAATTAAACATATAGTTACCATATGACTCAACAACTCCACTCCTAGGTATATAATACTCAGAACTGAAAACACACGTTCACACAAAACCCTATACCCGAATGTTCACAGCACCACTATTCACAGTAGCCAAAAAGTGGAAACGCCCAATGTCCATCACCCAGTGATGGATAAACAAAGTGTGGTACATCCTGAGAACTGCAAAGACTCTCGCAAGAACATTCTGTTCAAGCTCCTGCCCTAAGAACTTGACCCAATTTTGATGTGGCTTCCTGCAGCCTAACGCTTGTCCCTGGGACAATCCAGCCCCTCTCTGAGTTCCTCTCTGGAAAAGCTCAGGGCTGTTTGTTTGTTCTAGCCAACACCTGACAATCAGCTCTGACCTCCCTTTCTTAGAATATTTATAATTGCTCTAAGGGCTTAAAATTGTGACTCCTTTCTCCATCCCTTTGATGTGTGTGTGTGTGTGTGTGTGTGTGTGTAATCTCCTACAACTCAAGGACCTGAAAGCCATTCCTTTGAAATGCGATCATCATGCTCAGTAGTTGGCATCAATCCATGAACCAAGAGGTGGCTCCCGGTCAGAGCACATGCCTGGGTTGTGGGCTAATCCCCAGTAGGGGGCGTGCAGGAGGCAGCCAATCAATGATTCTCTCTCATCATTGATGTTTCTATCTCTCTCTTCCTCTCCCTTCCTCTCTGAAATCAATAAAAATATATTTTTTAAAAATAATAAAATAAAAATAATGATGAATTTTCAAAAATCAATGACAACTTAAAAAAAAAAGAACTTTCTGAAACAGAATTCAAAGCAGTCACCTCAAATGTAACAACCTTTTCATCAAAGTTATGAAACCAACAACCTCAGACTATTTTTGGGGAAAGTGATATACCTATGTTACCCGGGCATTGCAAGAAAACCCTGGAGATAGTAAGTACGGGCTGACGAAAGGGCCTCTGATCTAGTTTTTTGAGGACAAAACAAATTTGTAATTAAAGTGGAAAAGGTGGCCAATAGCCCTAACACTGATACTCATCAAACTGCCACCAGATCCATCCGTGAGAGATTAAATATCTTAGCGAGCTGTTCACAATTCACTATCTAATCAACCAGAAACGGTGCATCCGACCTCTCATTTTACAGATGAAGAAACTGAGATCAGAGAGCTTATGTGATTTACCCTGAAACAAAAGCCATGAAAGCTTACTAGTAGGTGATGTGGCTAAATCCTTCAGCAAGTGGGACTCCAACATTCAAAAAGAAAGTGAAGTGAAATGTAAGAGAAACGAAAACTCCTACTCACACTAAGCAAAGCAAGAAAAGCCTGTGCCCAGAGCCTAGCCGTGGGACTTGCTTTTCAGGTTCTCCCCTGGGCACCGCCTAGAGAAGGGCACACCTGAACAGTCAGTCCTGTCTATAGAGTACACCCTGTATCAGCGAGGCCCCTGAGAAACAGACAGCTCAGAAGTAAATACATGTAAGCCTGAGAAATAAATCCCTCTTCTGTTTCTGCTTTATAAAAGTCAGTAGGACTTACTTCAATATTCTCCACAATTCTCGTAACTACGGAGGCAGTGACGGAATACCAATAGGATTCCCCTTTCTGCTGGCGTTCATTCTACAAAGAAAAGAGCCAGTGTTAGCCAGAGCTAGTGCTTTGTTCACGTCACGAGTCTCACCACGATGCTCTTCCAGATCAAAGGATTTCTGCCTTGCCTTCCATTTTTCCTCCAGGGCTTGAAGAAGAGCTCTCTTGCGTTCCCTTTCCAACAGTTTCTCCTTTTCATCATTAAAATTTTGTATTTTTTCAGGGGCTCCAATTAAGTGAAGGCTGGAGATGGAGATCACCCAAGGGTCCACATGGGGGCGATAAAAGGGAATCTGAAGGGTTACTTTCCCAATTAAACCTAGGAAAAAGAAAACCTTGTTAAATGTCTTTACATATTTTTAATTCCTTCTATTTTTCTGTATTCTTCTCGTTTTCTTAGGGGAGCATTATTATTTTTACCTTTTTCAATTTAAGAAAACAGGCAACAGGTCCTCGTACTTGGGAAGCAAACGTTAGTAAGCTGAGATGGGTAATAATTAGGCACAATAAACTGGAAGCTGGGGAAAGTTCAGTGTGACTTGACCATAGCAAATGCAAGAGCTCTCTCCTGGAAACTACCTGTCCCCCACCTGGACTACATCTTAAATTTCTCTGGGGTGTCTTTCTTCCCATGGAACCTGCACAAGCCCATGGGCATGAACCTCCTTTCCTGCTCATTATTAACCTGCTGGCTGATAAGTACTTATTGGGCGTTATCAGATTTACAGTATGCCCAATCTTGCACATACCCCCTGACATATAGGAGATGCTGCAGTGGCCTCTATCGAGGAAGAATTGATTCTTTATGAGAACTTGGCCTGATGGGAGAGCTAAAGAGCCTGGGAGAATTGTGATACTTATTTCCCAAGTTCTACCATTTCTAGTCAAGCCTGCTAGAACTCAAGCCTTCTTTAAATTCAGTTAATTAGAGGCAAGTCACCACTGAGGAATAATGCATAAGAACATCTGACCTGTCCTCATGGATCACTCAAAGATCCACCTCTGAAAGCCCAACCTCTGAAAGCAGCACAGTTGTCAGGGGGCAATCATCCTATATAATAAAAGGCTAATATGCGAATCGACCTAACATCAAAACGACTAGTCGCTATGACACGCACTGACCACCAGGGGGCAGACGCTCAACACAGAAGCTGCCCCCTGGTGGTCAGTGTGCCAGAAGTCAGGCTCACAGCTGGCAAGCACAGCAGCAGTGGCAGGAGCCCCTCCACCTCCATGGCAGCGCTAAGGATGTCTGACTGATGGCTTAGTCCCGCTGAGGGCCCCCCTTCCCCCTCACCAAGTGCATGAATTTCGTGCACTGGGCCTCTAATTACCCTGTAAGATCTAAAATTCAAGTGGGATTGATCAGTTATACAGGGGTGGGCAAAAGTAGGTTAATAATAAGCAATAACCCAAGAATAAACTATTTCACATACTCACAGCTGTAAACCTATCTGTGCCCACCCTTGTATTTAACATAAAAGAATATCATTAATAGCATTTTTAATGATGACACCAAGTGATCAACTGTGTAATCCAGTACCAAATTCAGATATCTACAATAATGAAAAAAAAACACATTTTAATTTGGATTTTATCTAAAACAATGTTTCTTATATTTAATAAAATTTATATTAAAACTGAAACATACCACTTTTCACAGCAAAGAATTTTAACAATAATTAGTGCACAGTTGCAATTCTAACCAAAATTAATTGGGGAGAGAATATGTAATATTCTAATAACTATATGACTAAAATATAAATGATGTTAGGTTTTAATTTTTGCAGAACAAGCATAAAAATGATCATTTTTGCAAAAATATCAGAAAACATCAACCTTTCCCAAGAGCTTTCAATAACTCAGAAGTGTCATCATTCTTGAAAGTTTTCCTTCAGATTCTAATGAGTCAGTGCCTCTGCTTCTGACTGGCAGATCACCCATCACTTGAATTGATTTCAAGAAAGACTAAATCTTTTGCAAGGTTTTTTATTTCCATTGTACTTGCATTTTATTGTAATACTAGAGGCCTGATGCACGAAAATTCGTGCAAGACTAGGCCTTCCTTCCCCTAGCTGCCGGCACCGGCTTCCCTCTGGCACCTAGGACCCAGGCTTCCCTCTGGCCGCCGGTGACACCCAGGACCCGGGCTGGCTTCCCTCCTGCCCCAGCTTCATCAGGAAGGACGTCCAAAAGGACGTCCTGTCTAATTAGCATATTACCCTTTTATTATTATAGATAAGTACTCCAAAATAAAGGAAAGACTGACTGATAGCAACAGGCTACTGTTGAATGATGAGGGGTGTCTAAATAGAGACCAATTTTTTTTTTAAATATATTTTATTGATTTTTTACAGAGAGGAAGGGAGAGAGATAGAGAGTTAGAAACATCGATGAGAGAGAAACATCAATCAGCCGCCTCCTGCACATCTCCTACTGGGGATGTGCCTGCAACCCAGGTACATGCCCTTGACCGGAATCGAACCTGGGACCTTTCAGTCCGCAGGCCAACGCTCTATCCACTGAGCCAAACCGGTTTCAGCAATAGAGACCAATTTTATAATTGATCATTCAATGGAGAATATTTTATTCCAGAACAATTCTTGCTTCCTCACCAAACCTCACAAATGCAGAACTCCTATATAGTTGCAAACATCTATTGAGTGTGTCGGGCATCGTCCTGAGTAATTTTAATGTATTAACTCAGGTATTCCCCTTTGATGTAGGTACTATTATCATCCCATCTTAAGGATGACGAGGCACACACAGAGTTGTAGGAAACTTACCCAAGGTCACAGAGCCAGAAAATGGCAGATTTAGAATAAACCCAGGCATACTGTTCCAGAGCCCACTTTCATGCAATAGAGTAAACTCTCTCAGTAACATTTACAATGAATTATCTGAAAATAAAACCCCCTGTACCTAGAACAGGTCTCATACTCCAGTAATCATAAGAATCACCAGAAATATTTATTAAATATGCAAGTTGAGCCCTAGCTGGTGTTGCTCAGTGGAGTCAGCCTGCGGACTGAAGGTTCAATTCCAGTCAAGGGTACATACCCAGGTTGTGGGTTCAATCTCCAGTGGGGGATATGCAGAAGGCAGCCAATCAATGATTCTCTCTCATCATTGATGTTTCAATCTCTCTCTCTCTCCCTCTCCCTTCCTCTCTAAAAAATCAATAAATATATATATATTTTAAATACAAGTTGAATGACACATCCTTGGAGATTCTAATTCAGTAGGTCAGAGGCCACGTGACCTCCTCCACCATTTCCACCCCAAGGTCATCCTGATACTAGTGGCCTAGAGACCACATTTTAAGATGGATTTAAATTCTGTACTTCCTACCCTGCCTCTTCCTTGTCACAGAGAGCACAAGTCAAGGACTCTCAATTTCAGGTCCCACACAATGAACACTCAGCACTGCCTCCCTCTCCTTCGCTCCACGTACCAGCTTTGACTTCAAATGGTAACTCCAGTTCTTTCAAGGCATCTTTCTTTAATGGCAAGTTTTCTAATTCAACTGCACCTAAAAAATAAAAACAACATCATGTGGTTGCCAGAGGAGAGGGGGCTTGGGAGACTGGGTGAAAAGGTGAAGAGATTAAGAACTATAAACTGGCAGTTATGAAACAGCCCGGGGATGTAAAGTGAAGCATAGGGAATATTGTCAATATCAGGGGATCACTTTGTAAAGTATATGATTGGCTAGCCACTATGCTGTACACCTGAAACTAATACAAAATAATGTGGACTGTCAACTGTAATTGAAAAATAAAATAAAAATAATTACATAAATAAAATAATATCATGAAATGTTCATCCAACAAATGCGGCAGATGCCTACTCTGTGCAAATCACTGAAGGTTATAGGGAAAGTTTTACAACTAGACCAGAGCGACAAAAAGCCAAGGGAGGCGCCACCACCAGCCTATGTGCTTCATCTATACTAATTTCCTGGCTCCCACTCTGACAGGTACATAACAGCTGAAGTTTACAGCAGATGAAGTAATGAGCCAGATAGTAAATATTTCAGGGTTTATGGTGTCTGTTGTATAGTCTCCTTTTGTTTTTTTGTTTTTTTTTCACAAGCTTTTAAAAATGTAGAAGCCATTTTCAGCTCACAGGTGGGAATCTGGCCAGTTGGCCAGTTTGCAAGCCCCTAGTTCAGGGTAATGTTCACTAGAGGACCATTAACATCCGAATCTCCTGGGATGAAATGCAGGCTCCTGGGCCCCCTGCCAGACATCTCTGGTATTGAAACACAGAAATGTGCAAATTTTAACAAGCTCTCCTTACCAACACACACACCCCAAAAACGGGTGTACTGCACACAACATCTGGGAGCCTGGGAGAGTTAACGAAGTTGGTCATGAAAAGGAATTAGACTCTCTCTTCTGGAGGGACCAGCTCCGCAGGTTCTCCTCTGCACTTCCACTTGCAGGTGTAATAACCAAGCAGAAGGCAAAGGAACAAACAGGACCCCCACTGAAGACCTTTCAGACCCAGTTTTGACAATGACTTAAACCCCAAAGTACAAGATGCCTCCAAGGAATAGTCTAGATCTCTCACCCCACCCTCCACCCCCGACTATGGAAGTCATTCATTCACATATATATATATACCAATCCCTGTCCTTACTAGACACTATACTAACCACTGCAGTTACAAAAAGAGAAGGCAGGATTCTCATCCCTAAAGAGCTCAGGAGACAGCATTCATTTTACAAAACTGTTTGCACCACACAAGGCAATTTCTGAGTCACGGAAATCTGTCTGAGATGCATTATTTTCAAGAACAAGCAGTACAGACAGCAGCTACCCAGCAACCCTTAACTGGTAAGGGAACCCAGGAAAAAGGCAAAGTTACAAAAAGAGAAGGCAGGATTCTCATCCCTAAAGAGCTCAGGAGACAGCATTCATTTTACAAAACTGTTTGCACCACACAAGGCAATTTCTGAGTCACGGAAATCTGTCTGAGATGCATTATTTTCAAGAACAAGCAGTACAGACAGCAGCTACCCAGCAACCCTTAACTGGTGAGGGAACCCAGAAAAAAGGCAAGGCTTTTCCTCCAAAGACCGCTAATGCAAGAAACTTGATTACTTTTCCCTGATTGTTCAAGACCAGTGCATAATTGGCTTCTAAGTATTCAAATCTAGCAATTTGGCAGATTCTGAGCAAATGTAGCCAATTTATTTCTCAGCCTTTTGCGGGAACAGCTGTCCATATGGGGGATCCACATACCTTAAGACTAACCAAAAGGAGAAGTTAATGACCCCAGAGAGCCCGGACAAACCGTATTTCCACATTTGGGGAGAAAATAATCTTAAGGGGAAAAAATATCATAAAACATGTTCCTTATCAGTTGCAAGTGACTGAAAGGGAGGAAAGTATGTAGTCTCTTCTTTTGAAGAAGCAACATCTGCCCTATTTTTCAGTACCCAGACGAGGCTGACGGCCCTACGTTTGCTTGGCTACTGTATAGCCTGGAGAAGTGGAACGAATTGTAGGCAATCCACACCATGAAAAATTAAAGAACCTGCAGCCCAGAGAATGAAGGAGGTGACCTGGAAAGGAGCGGAAACAGAAGAAAGGATGAGAACTGAGGGCCCAGGCAAAACCACAGCAGCCATGCGTGGTTCAAGACCAAAGGCCTCCTACTGCCCCACCCACTCACACAGGTACCCACCACTGACCCTGCTGGAAGAGGTCCCTCCAAGGGGCCAGGCCCGAAAGCACCCAGTGTAGGCAGGTACTTTATAAACGATACTTCATAAATGATAATGATGTTCATTTATTTACAGGTAAATAATATGCAGGCATAGTCATGGATGTCTCTCTCATCCAAAAATGTCTCATCTCAGATTAGCAGCAAATCTAGTCACTTAGAACTGGGGTGAATTTAGAGATGGATCATTTCTCAGTAATTGTTAATGACTATTAAATCCTCTTCCCTCGGCTGTAGGTCATTAACAGGGCCGATCTGAGATTCAGAGCTTATAGAAAGAAAAAGGAGGGGAATCTAAGTTTTGGGTTACAGATATGCCCACAGCCCAAAGTTCAGACGCCTTGGCATGGCACTGGCAGCCACTACCTTCTGGCTCCAAACATGCCCTGCAAGTTTTCTCCCTGCAAGTTTTCAGCCTTCTGCCTCCACTCACACGCTTCACTCTCCCTGGAGCCTGGTGACCCACCTGCATCCCTATCAAAACCCTGCTAAGGTCCACTCAAAAGCTCCCTCCATACCAGCGTTCCCAGAGTCCCACAGACAGGAGGAAAGGCTCCCCTGCTTTGTACCCCATTGCATTATGCCTAGACGTCTAGTAACAACAATGTAATATATACACCCCTTGGATTACCATGTAATTTCTGTCTCCCCAACAGATTATCAGCAAGCTCTCCAAGGACAAGGACTATCAAGATGGAGGCGGATAAGTAACAATAATTTTTGTAGTAGTAGCAACAGCCATCATTTAGTGAGGACTCACTTATGTGCCAGGCACTGCATCTGCATGATCTCATGTAATCCTCACAATGGTATGAGGAAATACTATTAAATGCTCCATTTTTTTAAATATTTTTATTGATTTCAGAGAGGAAGGGAGAGGGAGAGAGAGATAGAAACATCAATGATGAGAGAGAATCATCGATGGGCTGCCTCCTGCACGCCCCGCACTGGGGACCAAGCCCACAACCCAGGCACGCGCCCTTAACCGGAATCAAACCCGGGACCCTTCAGTCCACAGGCTGATGCTCCATCCACTAAACCAAACCAGCTAGGGCTGCTCCATTTTTGAGACAAGAAAAATGAAGCTTAGAGGACAAGCAATTCACTTAAAACCCACAAACCCCGTAGGTGGTAGTGCCAGAGTTCATACCAGATCTGTTGATCTCAGGTGGCCAGAGGGAGAGGGGTGAAGGGGAGGCTTCAGTCACTTACAGTCACAAACAGCTTTCAAACGGTGAAACCAGGGTTAGCTCCTACGCCTGAGCTCTTAGTATCTTCTACTGTCCCCCCTTTTCATATCGTTCCATAACACAGAGCCTTACCCAAGGCAGTTGTTCATCAAGTGTTCATTGAATGACTGAACGAGGGAAATCTTACACAATGCTAGCTCTGTCCTTCAACCACTCACATGCGAACTTGGCATTTTTATTACTTCTAACATGGCCTTTCAAGTCCAACCCACCAGCCAATCCTATATGAATGATCATGATGGTGGATGATGATAACCCCAGTTGAGGGGGTTCACTATATGCCAAGAACCTTTGACTTAGGGTAATGTGTGCAGCCCTCAGAACCTTATGAGATAGTTACTGTTATCTCCAGCTTACAGAAAGTGAAACTGGAACATGAAGAATGTGAGTAACTTGCCCGAGTTACTAGTAAATGGAGGAACTGGGATTCAAACCCAGTCTGGCTATAAAACCCATACTTTTGACCTCTACTTCAGTCTCCATGCATCTCCCAAAGCATCTAGAATAGTAAATATTGGCAGATAGATTAAAATAACATCTAGTGTCCTCCACCCCTAAACACTGCAAAACTGTCACTGTGTCTTCGAGATCAACAAAAACCCTCAACTTCTTTACAAAGCCCTTCTCAGTACCCTGGGACACCCCAACACTCTCCGCCAAGCATTGGGTGTGCTTGGATCCATAAAGATGGGCAGCATACTAACACCGGTTATGAAAGAAAAAGCAACTTTCAATTTCTCAGGGAAATATTCCTCAGACTCCACAGGTTCGTTAAAAGCCATAGAGAATATTTTTTAAAGAAAATAAGTATAGAAAAGCAGTTTAAAGCATCAGAGAGATACGCACAGTTGTTACAAGATATATTCTGTCTAAAACTTCTGAGATTAGAAATCTGTTATTACTATAGATCCCATGATACATCATATGCCACAAAAATGTCTATTTATTCATTTCTTCGGCAAACATCCTCTCACCATCCCCTGCTGAGAGGGCCAGCTCTTTTATCAGCAAGGCCACAGTGTACCGGTCTCTTTCCAGGCCCTGTACCTGCCCTGTACAACCCGGTTAGCCTCACAGCGGGTATGAGAACTTCAGTCAATGGCCAAAGAGGTGAACTTGGCACGGCCACTGAACTTTGAACATAGCCTCTTCCCGGAAAGACTGGTCACTTTCACTTTGCATTTCAGCAGCTCCCTGCTAAGGAGGGAGGACAAGCAGCAGGAGGAGACTGGGAAAGAGCCTGTTTCTGTTCCCAGTGAAGGGAAGGAAGTGGAGGTGTGACCCTGATAGCTCCCCACAGCCGGTGGCTGCCACAATCCTTTCACGGGATTAGATGGGTCAGAAAGACCCGGAAAGCAACTCCCCTGGGGAAGGGTAACCAGTGACCGGCACCCTATGCTCAGACCACCATCATCTGCATCACTGCTATGGCCGCCACCTGTCCTGACCCACTTGCCCAAAGTCACGCCCCAGGAAGCTGAGGTCTGACCGTACTGGAGGCCTCCTGTCCTCTCTCTAGGATCCCACATGCTTGCGGACTGGCTTTATCGCCTTTCTCAGGATTTAGTAAAGGGTTACATTTTGAGATGAGCAAAGAGAACTTAAATTGAAACAGGGATAAGGAGAAAAAAAGCAGTTTTCCAATCCCCCCACCGAAACACGGGACTGCATTTACCGAGTAGAGACCTATATAGGCTATAATGTCTCAAGCTTTCGGTACTCGACGACTAAGCAAGACGAGACCTCAGAAGTTCTGGGACACCTCCAAGGAACATCATGGAAAACCCTGACCGGGTGCCTATGATACCCCAGTAGAGGAGCTTCAACTGTCTGTCCTTCTGATCTCCACAGCAACCCTGGAGAAGTGTGTCGGCCTCGTTTTCTAAAGAAACTGAGGCTCCGAATTTCAATGACTTGTTTCTATAGCTAATAAGCAACACAGCGGCATTTAAAGCCAAAGCCAGTGCCATTATCAGTATATCATGGCTGCCTCCATAACCCTTCATAAGGCAAAAACAATAACTGGGGTAAAGCACAGTCACCAGTAGTATAGTTTAAAAAAAAACAAAACCAATAATTCCCTAAAATCTACAGCAATACAGCTACATATTTAAGTTACCCGATAATAATAATCAGCATCATATGGGAGAAAAAATTTCCTTTTACGCATATCTACTAAAAAAGCCATCTGAGCACCATGTTTTATCATTCTCAATGTGACAAAGAGAATATAGAAAGGAGAAGTGCCATCTGCAAAGGCAATTCTTTACCAAAAAGAGACACATGGACTCACCTTTCAGAAGCGCAACGGAGAGCTGGTCAGTGTTCAGGTTATTGACGTATTTCCCCAGATAGGTATTGAGAACCCAGGCTACAAGCCCTTCCAACATGACTAGATCCCCAAGACAAGGTGTTTAAAAATCACGGATCATTCTTCATTTCTCTCTCTCATGATCACAGAAGAATCTATGAAAGAAAAGAAAAAAGGAAATCAACAGAAAAAACAGATGATTTTTTTTAAGCTGATTTTTCCTACTCTACCTAAAGGTGGAGGAACGCAAAGCGCAGGTTTAGGAAAACACGGGGTGAGAAGCACTGTAAGATGCCCCATTAGTAAATGGAGGACCAAACTAATACGCCGACGTTTTGATGCAGCTGCAGGAATAGTCACTTATAAATTTACCAAATATTACCTACAATGCAAAGTTGCATGTCTTTTCAATGTAACTGATCCCTGAACTGCTTGCTTCCAGTGACTCACCTTGGGACTAGACTGTCCTGACCAAAGGTTCTCCTCCAGGTGTGATTTGGCAAAGTCTGGAGACATTTTTGACTGTGAGGAGTGGGAAGTGATACCTTGTGGGTAGAAACCATGGATGCCGTTAAACATCCTACAATGCGTACATAACACCCCACAGCGAAGAACTATCTAGCCAGAATATCAACAGTGCTGAGACTGAAATTCTGTTCTAAATTAAAGCAAAATTGCACTAAGAGGTTGTATCAATGAACTTCATATTCTGCAATGATCCTCTTTAAGGCTCCCCTAATTCAATTTTGCAAATCTGTTCATTGGGATCATTTGTAAAATAAGATAAAAGGAGGAAGAAGGCAGTGGTTGTTCACACTTCTTAAATGTCCTGGAGGTGCATTACTGGGGCCTGATGCTGATACAATGAACTATCTTAGTCAGTAATTACACACACCAGAAAACATCTGGTTCTGGCTACCGTATTTACATTCAGCACTAAATCACTACTGCCTATCATTATTATGAATAGGTAGTATTTATTAGTACTACAAAAATACATATAGATTTTTAGTATTACAAAATGTTAATATTCGAGCCAGACCGGCACGGCTCGGTTGATCATCATCGACCTATGAACCAGGTCACGGTTCGATTCCCGGTCAGAGCACATGCCGGGGTTGCAGCCTCACCCCCTAGCAGGGGGCATGCAGCCAATCCATGATTCTCATCATTGATGTTTCTCTCTCTCTCTCCCTCTCCCTTCCTCTCTGAAATCAGTTTTTTTTAAAGTTAATATTTGGAAAACTTGAGACACCAGCGTTTCAATGGGTCCCCAAGTCGCTCAGCTAGCAGGTCCCAATGAGAACTGTGGACACCAGATTTGCTATGGCAGGCAGCCCACTGAGGATCCTGAGCCAGCCCTCTCAGGATCCTTTCCAAGCACCCGCCCCTCCTCCAGTGATTCATCTCAGCGCCAGAAGATAGCTGATCCGAACGGAAGGCCTGCCACACCCAGCGCAGCCCCAAAACAAGGCCCTGGAAGAGTTAACTCCAGGAAAGACTTGTCAACATCGTCTTGCGCTTCCACGCAAGACTAACTTCCCTTTGTCAACAAGGACAGTACACATTAATAAGTAAATAAATAGCATTTGGTGAAGTCTTCATTTCTTTCCAAAGATTTCTTTTTAAAGCTACATTTTGTGTAAAACTGGGAATCTGCTCAAGATTGCCGGATGCATTTACTTAAAGAGCACGTTTTCTAAAGTGGTTGTTTTTGTTTTTTTTAAATCCTCACCCGAGGACATGCTTTTAAAATAAGAAGTGTGTAGCAGTCTGAGTAAAAGAAACATTTCTTTATTTTACCTTCAAACAAGCAAATCTGTGAAAACAAAACGCGAACCTGGCTAACCTCGCCTGATTTGTGCCGACTCCCAACACACTTGGGCAACGCGCCAGGGTCGGAGTAGTCTTTATTTTTGGAGTTCCTCCCACCGACGTCTGCCCTACCTGCCAACAAACTCTCTCCCAAGTACCAACGACACACGCTCTCCCGGTAAACGGACACCGCGGTGGGTGGGTACACAAGATCTCCCCCTCCCCCCCCGTGTCCACCCCGGAGGTGGAGGAATGCACGGCGCGGATTAAAAGATGGGGCAAGACGCACTGTCAATGCCCCGTCGGGACACCGCGCCCCAGGCCAGGACGCACGATCGGCTCTGCTAAACATCCAGGCCGGGCTGGAGGCCACTGGGCGCATTCCCGGCAGGAGTCCGGTGTCGGCAGGGCCGCCAGCCCGGCCACCACCCCGAGTGTTTACACT